CCCCCCCCCCCCCCAAGAAATAGTATTGGCAATTGTTTCTACAAGGCCCTATATCAGACCTTGAGGTTTGCTGGCGGGTTCCTGGATAGCCACGGACAACACCGAACTTTTGCAAGGCATCATGTCGGCATGGCTGGCATATTGCGAACTGCAGACACCGAGCTTCAGAACGGGACATGTGTGCAGCTGGGTTTAAAGCAACACAGCTCGAAGACCCTCAGCCCTGAACCCTTAAAGACTTAGGGTTTAGGGTTTANNGGTTTAGGGGTTGAGGGTTTAGGCATTTGTGCTATGAGGGTTAGGGGACCGACTGCATCTGCATCGGAAGGCGGAAAGCAGGCAACGAATGCCTCGACTGACGCTAATCTCTGCCTCGAACTACCAAAAACCTACTTTTCCTACGAGCCTACAAAAACAAGGAGGTTATGGTAGTTTAACGTAGCTGCAGCAGAGGCTGGTACATCTACAGCCAAGTCCACGTCTGCAGCATGCGGTGATCATCAGTTACGAAGTAACTTACCATGTAGGATGCAAGCCTCACTTAACCCAATGCCCTTAAACTCTAAACTCTCAGCCCTGAAACCCTAAAAACCCTAAACTGAAACCAGAAACCCAAGATCTCTATTCCCTGCAGCTTAAGTAAAGCTCAAGGAAGACAACTAGGTTGCCCAGTAGCCCCGCAAAAATAAGGCTGCCCTTTTTTCCTACTATTCAGTTTTAATAAGGGAACCCCCAACAAACAGGTACCTAGAAATTAAACCCCTGAACCCTAAACGCTGAACCCTACACCCTAATCTCTCTTCACTCGAAGGCCAGCCGACTGCACTCTGCACTCGGATGTTCTCACGCAGCTGCTGCAGGAAGTGTACCACGCGATCAACGAGTTTGGGATGCTCCTTAGTGCTGTCGGTAATATAGGGGCCTTAACAATTTCAATAGGGTTCCTTTAAAAAGGCTCCCTCAGAGGGTTCTATATGGGCTACTATAAAGGTTCGACAAGATAGGGGCCCTAATTATTAGAATAGGGTTTGGGGGTATATTATACTGAAACTATGATGAGGACCCCCCCCCCCCTCGGCAGGGTGGTCCAGTGCGCACTCCTATTTGAGTCCAGTGCGCACTCCTAAATCAGGGTCCAGTGCGCACTCCTTTTGTGTTCAGTGCGCACTCCTCGAATCTGCATCCACTGCCAAAACCTGCACACATGCACGCCTTACGGCACGGCTTACGGGTTCACGGCT